ATTGAACGCAAGACATGTATGTATTTGAAAACCACATGCTACTTGAAAAGAAATCAAGAACGAACAGTAGACAAATCAAAAGAAACCAAGAACGAAAGATTATTTAGCGCATAATAATCTATAATATTTAAAATATACATAATTATACCCTAAGTCTCAATAAAAAAACATGAGAAGAATCTCCTACCTCAATTCGATGTTTGAAGATAGCCCTAGCTTGTTTGAATCAATCTCAACTCAAGAATCCCTTCGAATATTGTGTTTTCTCCACCTTTCTCACTCTCTAGGGTTGCCTAGGATTGACAACTGATGAGACATGGCTAAAAAGACGTTCTTATGGTATTTATAAGGTGAAAAACGTAGAAAATCCTAAAACTGATAGGGGCCATTTTTAAGGTGGTGTCTGGACGGTGCCAAGTCTCTGTTTTTAATGAAAAATAAGGTTTCATGGTAGGGAGTGGCATCCAAACGGTTATGGGAGCATCTAGATGGTACCAACTTCCTGTCTTAGTTTCCAGAGCAATTTTCACCTATTTAGAAGTCGATTTAGGAAATATTTTTGAAATACACTTTTGTAGCCCCTAAAATCTAGTTTCTACTTTCCAAAAAACAGCTCCAGCAAAGTTTGGAGTGAAAAGCTATGGCTAAAATACTAAAGTAATGTCAAATTCCTTTCTACTCGAATTCTTTCTAAAATGTGCTTTAACTCTGAAATATTTCCTAACTTCTAATACACCCCATATTACCTCTCCCAAAGTTTCTCGACCTTATAGATTTAATGGAGGCCTTACTTTGACCTAAAAGCATTTATAAACTTACTTAACCACCTTTCTCAAGCTTAAACTCCTCCGAAACTCAATTTACCCCAAAAGTCAATACGCTTGAAACTCAAACTTCATAATCAATCTTTCAAAAATGATTTAAGTTTCTATCATTATTTAATTCATTTTAGGAGAACTCTTAATATAATATTATCCTTCTTTAATTTTAATATGAGGTATTACGATACACCCCCTAAAAGAAAGTTTCATCCTCGAAACTTAATTATTGAGTTAGCCTATCTAATTGTAATTAACCATATGGCCTCAACACATATTAATCCCTTAAGCATCAAGTCCAAGATCAGGATAAAATATCATATTCTAATTTTTAAATTCATTCCTTTCACTTATATCATCACTGAAGGTACTTAAAGTCTCCAAGATTACCTTCATTCACTGTCGCTCATTTATCACCTTCATTCTCAATAATTTTATATGATTGTTCCAACTAATTTCTTATCATGCATAACTACTAGATCCTAATACTTAATTGTCTATTAATCAAATATCACTTCTCTTTTGAATTCACCAATCCTTTCCATAAACCTCATGTTTGTTTCTTATATGTACCTTATCCATAACCATATCAAAACAACTCAAATGCAATTCTGCTAATAGGGTTACTGATGTTACTTATACTAATATCATGGTATAACACAAAACTTAGTACTTACATACAATAAGATTTATCCTGATTCCTGAAATAGATACAACATTCTTAATGACTTTGTCTCTCACTAATCAAGAGGAATTTACAAATCTTTAAAATTTAATAATGTGACGCCCCTAAAATCCATGTGTCCGTAATTACCCAATTGATCAACCATCAATCCGCAGAATACCCGAGGATACCGTGTAACTCGATTTCATGTCGTTATGCCCCATTTACTTAGATCCATAATTTAACAAAATCCGGGCAGAGTTTCCTTTGTATAGAGAACTTTACCCAAAATACAACATGTGCAATCATACAACATTGACCACACCGGGTCCATTTATCCATATTCATAAACAACAATTACATGTTCAAAACTAAATTACATAATAGTTTTACAAAACATGGTTCAAAGCCACATCTCAGATTTTCTTCATTAATGAGGGCCCATGTGAGAGTCCTCCATCGGCGCATGTCCCACATCTGAAATGTTGCCCCATAAAGGGTGAGTCATGCTTAATAAGGCATCTCTTAAAGAGGTTACTCCCCAACCTAGATATATATGAAATGTTCATATGTAAATCTCAAGCAACAATTACTTCATTCAAGAATATGCAATTCAATAATGGAATCCTCTATGTCATACCAAGATATGAGATGAGACTCACACATGGAACTCAACCCGAGCCTTTATCGACTCCCTCAACACATGTAATGTCATGCATATAAATTTGGGCATTCCAAGCCCCTATCATTGTTGTTACACATCGAATGACCTTTTTTTAGTATATTAGACTTTGGTGAACCCTAGACGATTTCCCGTAGTTTTTTTTTAGAAGGGTTTTCACATCAACACATTGCTTGTATTCTTTATTAAATTTACATATACACAAGTAATTTGAGTATTCATATCATACATAGTTGCTTGGTTGGTTTGGAATCGTCATGAGAGATTGAGTGTTGAGCATTGAAATTGACAAAATCAATACACTAATCTCCATAAGTATAAAGGATCATGGTGATTTAAAAAGGGTTCTCACACTAAATTGCTAAATCATTAAGAGAAGTGATAATTGTGGTAGAATTAGGTTAAAATTAGTGTTTGTTTAAGCATAATTTTAATTAACCTATTCATCACCTCTAGGTAGTGTCTAGCAACCTACGTGTTTAATCGTAAGTGAAGATCCACATAATCTCCCTTGTAACAAAATCTTTAGAATTCATCATTTTAATCTAACAAATAATGAGGAACAACTCAAAGTCAATATTGACGAGAAAATGGAGTAAGCCCATATTAGGGTGGTTGCCTACCAAAGTCAAATTGTGCGATATTTTAACAAGAAGGTTAAGGTTCGGGAATTCTCCCTAGGGTAACTATTTTGAAAAAGGTAACCCCAGCCTCCAAGGACCCTAAAGAAGGAAAACTGGGGCTAAATTGAGAAGGGCCTTACCAAGTCAGCTAAATGATACGACCTAGGACATATAAGCTTCAGGCTATGGAAGGGAGGCTTCTGACACATGCCTTGAATGCAGAACCTCTCAAGAAGTACTCCCAATAAGGCCAAAGCTCGAGTAGAGCTCAATAAAGGGGGCCACACCTCTAGCTAGTTAGTTAAACTGCTTTATGTAACTTTTCCCTTTCAAGGAAACTTTAATAAAAGTTTGTTTTTCAAAACTCTTTGAAACTTGTGAGTAGGTCAGACCCTCGAGCTAAAATAACTTGTGGAAACCAAGTCCTTTCACAAAAGGACACCTTTATCATAATAGTTAGATGAAGATGTTCAATGCCACATAGGCAGTGTTGAAAAATATCATCAATGAAGGAACTACCCCTTCTTAGCGTGGAGAGTATACTCTAATTTTCAAACATTAACTTCTTTCGAATTATTTTTACTTTGCATCTTAAGAAAGAATTTATGGACATTAATGACATGCTTTGTAAAGTTTTACAACGAAAATCTCAAGATATTTTCAATGCCATGCACTTTGTCGCAAGCACTAAACAACAAATTTAGTAAACATTTAATTAAGCTAATTACTCTTAGCTCAGCATTGGATCCAAGGGATGGATATAAGCCCTTTAAAATTGATGACATTTGCAAGTTGGTAGAGAAGTTCTACCCTCAAGACTTCACATAAGAGGAGATAGTTCTTTTGAGTATACAACTTCAGTTTTTTGAGCATGATATACCATGTTGATCATTCAAAGTTGTTGAATATTTCTGACTTATCTAAATGGTTGCTTATGACTAGAAAATCAACCATTTGTCCACTTTCTGATCGATTGGTTAGACTTGTGCTTCCACTTCCACTTTCTACTGCAAACTACAGAACATGCTTCTAGACTACGAATATTATGACAATTAGACTTTGAAACAAAAATGAAAGATGATTTTCGCACAACTTTTTGATTGTGTATATAGAAAAAAAAGTTGCTAACAAATTTAACACGATTCAATCATATATGAATTTGCAATAGGAAATAATGTCGAGTTCCACTTTGATAGATGTTTCAGGGATATGTAATAAAAAAGCTATTCCTTCGGTTCATTTTCATTTTTGTGGATATCTTTATTTTTATTGAACATCCATTATTTTTGATAGATTAATTTTTGTACATTGTGAATTTGTTAATAGAGTTTCCCCGATGATAAAATCCTAATTTTGTGGATATCTTTCTTTAATTGCTTCAAGAACTAGTTAGAATTGATCTTCAAGATTTTTAGGCTCTGTTCGGTTTGCATCTGAAAAATTATTTTTCTATTTTTGAAAATAATTTTTGGAAGAAAAGCTATTTGACCATCTGTTTTTTGTTTTAATTTGTGAAAACAGAGAACAAAAAGTAGGTTAGAGAACAAGTTTATGACTGTTTTTGTGTATTTTTTGAAGTAACATTTTCATAATCTAAAAAACACTACTATCGCCACCGCCATCGCCACCGCCACCGCCACCGCCACCACCACTGATACCAACACACTCCCACCACCACCACCAACACAATTCCACCACCACGTCCACCACCACCACCACAACATTTTCTGTTTTTACTATTTTTTTCGGTTATTATTCCATATAACTGTTTTAAAATCATATAACCAAACAAGTTTTTCTATACAAAAAAATTAAAATATATTTTTTTAAAACTTTTTCTAAAAATAATTTTAAATACCATTTTTTGAGACACAAATCAAACAAGGCCTTATATTTTCGTATCTTCTTCTTTATCAAAACTTCATTTTATATGCTTCATTTATTAGATTCATTACAAGTTTCAATGTAGATTGATTTAGATATAAATATAATTTATTAGCTATAAATATAATTTATTATATAATTTTAAGTGGTAACACAAATAAGGGTAGGAGTACGTATGTCAGGAACTAGTGATCCATAATGATATTGAAGTAGGCCAATAGCGTTAAGATTTTTGGGCCGTAGTCCAGAGCCTACGAACTTAAAACAGATAAGTAATGATGAGCCTCCCCCGTCCTCATACTCTTTCAAAAAACAAAGTAGCATCAACATAAGAAGGCATCACAATGTTGAAGGGTTCAACATATGACGCAGGATTTAACAGCGATCATTCATGCATTACTCCAATTGTACATCAATGTCCAATCTAACGGTTAGATTTGAAGTATTGCATGAGATCACCATGAAATTTGCATTATAAAAGTAATCCTTAGAAAACAGAAAAGTTGAGAGAGAAATAATCAACTTTTCCTTTCTCAATTCTCTTTCCTCTTCTTTTGGTACCGCCTTCCCATGTTCCCACTCCACAGCTCAATACCTAAAACACAGATCCATCCACTCACCCACCCCACACATACATCATACAGCACTCATAGCCGTAGCTGAGGCAAAAACGAGAAAGTGCGAGGTATAGCATTCGGTGACTTTTTGATACCCCGGAAGGCTGGAATATCGATCTCTCTTGCAAGCTGGTATGTTATTTGTATGCAATTTTCTCTTCATTTTCAGTTACGATTTCAATTTTAAACAATTCTTCACGTACTCTGAATTTTTTCTGTTCTTCTCTCTGGTTTTCGCGTTCTAATGGATCGTTGTCTGATTCTTTGAAATCCCTTGTACTTGATTTCTTTATCTGGGGTTTTATTCAATTTAGCTTCCATTTATTTTATTCATGTAATTTTTAGGCACCGTATTTGGATTGATCTGGTGAGTATTGGATTGTTTTTTCATTAATTTTCATCTGAAACAGACTGAAAAAATATCTGGAGAGAGAAACGAAGAGAGAGAAATGGGTATTGCATTGTTGGAGATTGGAGTTCAGATCAGAAAAGCTGTGATCTTTTTAATCAGAAAATGTTACAGACTAGTTTGCAATCATCCATTTCTAATGGTTATGGTGTTTTTCTTGATTTTGATGTACAAATTGTTTCCGTTGGTGTTCTCACTTTTAGTCTCTTCCTCCCCTGTGCTTGTTTGCACTGCTGTTTTGCTTGGAACACTCTTAAGTTTCGGGCAGCCAAACATACCCGAAATCGAAAAAGAAGAGAAAACAACCCATGAAATTGTGTCTTTGAAAACTGGGATTTCGAGAGATTCTATTGTCGTGGAGAGAGATGAGAACTATCTTTTGGGGAGATATAATGAGAAGAGAAGGGACGTAGTGGGGAAGTCCATTGAGGAGGCAAGTTGGACTGCAAATGATGCTACTGAAGTTGCTGAAGGTGATAGTTTTGTTGATAGTGAACTGCAATCCGAGGGAAAATCCCGGGAAATCGAATTCCAAAAGCAAGTTATTACTGCTGGGGAACACGGATTACATGCTCCAAGATTTGAACTGAATAGTGGAATGAATGAAGTGCAACCAGGAGATGAGGAAGTTGTGGATGATCAGTGCTCTGCAATTCAAAGCTTGTATGCTGAAAATCTTGAATTCAAGAATGACAAATCAGCGGGGAAGTGTATTGATTTCCAGAGGGCGGATTGCTTGAATCCTGCTCCAAGTTCTCCTTGGAAACAGGTAGAAGATGGGGAGGAGGAGGATGATGAGGCTTCAGATGGGTCCAATGAAGCTGAGAGTTCCTCTCCAGATGCTTCAATGGCTGATATCATTCCAATGCTTGATGAACTGCACCCGCTTTTGGATGAGGATGCCCCTCAGCCTGCTCATATGTCCGATGAGGGCTCTGATGCTGCTTCAGAACGTTCTCTGAAATCCAGTGATGGAGGTGATGAGTCGGATGAGAACTCTGACAACCAAGAAGAGTTAGAAATTGGAGATGATGAAAATGACGATGATGAAGAGGAAGAAGAAACGCAAGGGGCCAAAGAGGATGGAACTAAATCTGCAATCACATGGACAGAGGATGACCAGAAGAATCTCATTGACTTGGGAACCTCTGAGCTAGAGAGGAACCAAAGGCTGGAGAGTCTTATTGCAAGGAGGAGAGCACGAAAAAACATGAGAATGATGGCCGAGAAGAACTTGATAGACTTAGAAGGTGCTGATCTTCCCTTTAGTATTGCACCCATTTCGACGACAAGACACAACCCTTTTGATCATCCATGTGATGTCAATGAAAACATGCTGTTACCGCCCATTCCTGGGTCGGCTCCATCTGTTTTGCTACCAAGACGCAATCCTTTTGATCTTCCTTATGACTCAAGTGAAGAGAAACCCAATCTTATGAGTGACAGTTTTCACAATGAGTTCATGACATTTCAACCAAAAGAACAATTTTTCCGGAGGCATGAAAGTTTTAATGTGGGATCCTCATTCTTTGGGACTTCTAGGCAGGAGAAGCAAGATATCAAGTTAAGACCTTTTTTTGTACCAGAACGGATTGCTTCTGAAGGGACAAGCTATGCTCCCTTTCAAAGACAATCAAGTGAACTTAGTGACTCTAAGGTGAGTTCTGTTCCTGAAACAGAGTCGATTGGTTCAGCTGGGGATCTGGATGATAAGAATCTCATTGAAGAAGATTTTTCTCCAAAAGTGGAGCTGATCTCCACCATAGAGCATGATTCCCAGCATGTTGGGCATGGAAGCCAATCGTCTGATGTAGATTCTGTGGAGTTAGATCATGCTGAGAAGAGAGATCTTGAGCTCCATGAGATTGAAATCAAATTAGGGGATGAGGAAAATCATCATGAAATGGAAGCAACTTTGTCTGTGAAAGGAGGTGTGGCTAATCTTGTAGGACAAGACACAAGGGGAACTCATACTACAGAAGTTGTTGAACAGAGATATAGTATAGGATCAAGCTCAATATTATTGCCAGAAGTAAATGAAACAATCTTTAATGAGAAAGAAGGTGATAGTAAAGTCAATCTTATCCAGGAGGCTATCCTTTCAAAGCAACCTTCACTAGAAAAGTCAGATTTTAGTATGATTAGTGGTTTAGTGGGTGACACTCAACACAGGGAGCCCATTTATGATTCAAGCCCCCCAGCAGTTAAGAAGAACCTCTCTTCCTCTTCCACTTCCATTTCTTCTGATTTGCAAGTAGAAATATCCAAATTGGGGTCACTACCTGTGGTGGTCAAGAGAACCATTTCTTTTGATGAGAAAGAATCCGAAGTGAGTAGTCCGAGCATAAAGAAGGATACTCCAGGTAAAGAAGAGATGGTTGCAGACTCCTCACAGATACGTGCATTAGATGAGATTGAATTGGGATGTTGGGGGGTTACAGAGACAGGTCCTGATTTTTTAAAATTTGGGATCTCAGGAGCTACCCAGCAATCTGGCAGTGCAAATGTTTTGATGATGCCTAAAACTGTTGCCGATTATACTGCAACTGATTCACAAGAATCTTCAGAGACTCCAGTGGAAGAGGATCTTACGCATCAAGATGGAAGCTATCAGACTACAGGGGGTCAAGTTCCCTTGTTGAGCTTTGATGCAGATATCCATGGTGCAGCTCACCAGGATGTGAGCAAGGAGATGGAGTTTAAATCCTCTGAAGGTCAAAATTCAGTTCCAACAAAGGAAGAACAAAATTCATTGGTCATTGAACGATATTCACCTAATAACCCCAATACGGTTTCTTTTGAGACTGAATTGGAGGAGGAGCATTTAATGGATATGGAAGCACCTCATCTCTTTACACAAGATCAAGTGCACTCATCAAATTCTGATGCAGAATATTATGTTGGTGTTCAACCGGATGAGAAGCTGATTTCTACACATTATCCAAGTGTTTCTAAAGAAAAGTCTGTACTGCAACCAGAGAAAGAATTGCCTTTGCCTGATGAATCTATGGATGAATCATCAGATTATGTTGAAGTAGTGCATGTAAGTCAAGTAAATAGAGTACATGATTTGTTTTTTAAATACTTGAATTGGTCCTGTGCACATACATTTGCCCTCCTTTTTTCATGCCTAATTTTTTCAGAATTAAATTATGTGAATGAGATGTCATCTGCAAATTCAGTGTTTTTTTGGTCACTTCAAGGCAGTATTAGAACTAAATTTTTTTTTATTGTTACTGCTATTGTTATTTATTTAAAGGATGTTGACAATGATCAAAATTTCATTTTGGTGCATAATTTGGTCACCTCAGAAAAGGAAACATTTTGGCAATATTTCGAAAACATTTTGGAAGCAGCGTAGAAAGAGAAACAATTTCAGAATTTATTTCTAAAATATTGTTGAAACACCTCAAAACAATGAATTTTTGGTAATCAACCCCTGTGATTCAATTTCAGTTGTTTTGGGAAAAGTAATGAAGTTTTGATCTTTAGCGATTGGCACATTGAAGACATCCAGAAGAATTATCAATTAATATGATTACTGTTTCTGGGATTGTTATTTATGTCAAGGAAATTGACCTTTTGAAGACAACCAGATATATTATATTATTTATTCTAAGTAGAGCTATGAGTAACTATCACTTCTCTAATTCTAAGCAGGAACAAGTAATTATCCTGGCAGAGTCAACTGAGGAAGTCAGCTATACGAACAACTTGAATATCACAGAAGTCCAAGAGCTCAATGACACAGTTGCCCCAGAGATATGCCCTTCTTCAACTCCTGAACCTACTTCCACTCCATGTGATGACTCCGAAACCAAGGCACTTACGGCTCTAGCAGGTATAAAAGACGACATACTCGGTGGGAATGAAAATGATGATAGAATTCAGGTCTTAGAACACTTCCAGTTCCCAGTGGACGCAACTGATCCTCCTGTTGATGTCCATAATATTGTTGAGGATGCAGATGATGTCAAGGAGATTGATGAGGGATTGTTGTTGGAATTGGATGCAGTTGGTGACTTTAGTCTGAAAGATTTGGGATCAAACTTTGGAGAGATTGAAAAACAGATGGTTTCTGGTGGGATGAGCTTTCCGGTGCAGCGTGATCATGATCCTAATTCTAGTGGACCTGTTGAAGGTGAGACCATTGAAGTTGATGAAACCGAATGTATTGTGGATAGGGAGAACCGAACGATATCCAAGATTGAGCATAGCTCTATTGGGCATGTTGATTCATCTATGAGGAAATATGATAACAAAGACGTTCAGAATCCCCTTGATCTCAAATCAATCAAGGATGAACCACAGCAAAATAAATCTGAGGTTGAGGCTGAAGCTTTCTTGGTGAAGCTACATACAAATGTGGAAGAGGTTGATACCGGTATGCCTGTTGTTGAAGCACGATCATATGAAGATATTGAGTCCATTTTTAAAGCCCAACCATTGTCAATGGAAACAGAAGTTGAGCTTGGAGAATTAGAGATACCCCACCAAGGCAAAATGAAAGAAGTGACAGATTTTGAGATGCCTATTCTTGAAGCACAGTCACTTGAAGATATCAATACAGCCTTTAAGCAAATCAATGAAAAAGTAGATGAGAAATCTGTAGTGGTTGAGTCACTTCGTACTGAGTTGATATCAGGGGAAAATATGGCTGAATGTTCTGAATCTGGGGTGCTGCCTAAAGGTTTGGATTGGACAGAGACAAAGTTAGAGTTACCAGTTCTCCAAGCAAGATCGATGGAAGATACTCACTTGGCTTTTAAGAAACTTGAAGAAAAAACAGTTCAAAGACATATCCTTCACGGTTCAGGTGGTGATGGTCCAGATATGTCAGAATCCAAAGATCCAGCAGAAACCTCTTCAGATTTGCATGTTGTCGAAACAAAATCTCCGAAAGATGTAAATGTGACTTTCATGGAAATCTCAGAAAGTAAACTAGATAAGCAGCCAAAGTCTGGTTCTGAGGATGGGCTTACAGAAGTTGAAGCAAAAGAAGTGGCTTCGTCTAAGATTGCTGAATCAAACAGCAAAGAATCTGGTGTACAGGAAACTAGCTCTGGTGCTGCCAAAAAGTCAGACCATGAAGTGGGGACATTTGAAGATTTAAGTTCGAGCATATCTGACCTTAAAGTTGAGGAAAATGTTCATAAATCGACCTAAGTTCTAGCTCCAGCTCAAGTGATTCTGATTGAGAATGAGAACACAAGGGTTGGAAAGAAGAAAAATATTGGTTTTGACTTGGCTTGCCTCTGAGATAATGGATTTTTTTGGTTTTCTAGCTTGGTTATTACTTTTCTTTCCGGTTATGGTAGTCGGGTTTTGTTTGTGATTGTTTGAGTGACTTTTAACTTGATTGATTCCTTCAAGATTGAGTTTTGATTTAGTATCTTGGAGTATGATTATCTTTCTTAGTTTCGTTGTTGAGTGGGCAGGTTGAGGATATTGGGAGAAAATGCTGTTTTATCCTTTCATACTGTACATTGTAATTTTTTAATGTTATTTGGTACGATTTGAGTGTTTTTGTATGGGAAAAACATGTGCAGAGTTCTTTTTGCTCTGAAAATCTTTTAAATTTGTGGAATTTCCGGTTGTTGTATTCTCCCTTTTTTAGGAACTTGGAAATTTCTGTCGCCATTTTCCCTTTGATCGAGCACACCTACAGGGGGTCATGCTTTTAAAACTGTTTGAACATAACCCTTAAAAATGTGGTCAATTACTCAGTTTATTAGGTGTGGTTGAAATTCAGTGGCCATCAAGAATGCATAATTACTTCAGTGTTTGTAGGCCAGTTTTAAGGATAAGCGGGATGAAGTTTTTAACCGGCTGTAGGGATTGAAATTACGCCTTAAAACTTGGTAAAGGCTAGCATTTATCACCACATTTCGCACTCACTTCCGAAGATGTTCGAAGGCCGTTACTCTTCTACTATCCGGACCAATAGACGATGGTTAATATATGGCCTTCTTGTGTTTGCCTTTCTTTGCAAATGAAGATCATTTGGGCACAAAATTTGGCACGTAACCGCAAATCTTATTAAGCTAATTCTCAAACTCGATCTTGAACTTCATTGATGGAAGCATCAAAATTTAGTTTTCTTTTTTGCTTCCATAGGAATTTTGAAATTTCTTTAGGAGGTTTATAAATATTTCGATAAGTCTTGAAAATAAATATTTAAAATTCTATTACTATTCTATTTTCAAAATTTGTATCGGAACGTTTTTGTTTTTGAGCTGACCACACTTATGCACCAAAATTTTTTTTTTATCATTGCATGGATGCGGGAGACCATTTGATTAGGCAGCCAAATTTTCTTGTTTATGACATATAATGTGCAGGTAATTTTTCATAAGCATCAAATTGGTTTTTTTTTGTTCTCTTTTCTTTGGTTTTTTTTTTCTAATTACTATATATTGATTGAGATGTGCTATCCGAAATTATAAAAATGTTCATAACACTTCTTTAAAAAAAAAAAATCAAAGCAAAAATAATTTTGTCAACAAAAAAATGAAAACGGTTATTATTGTTTTGTAAAAATGACATACGTATAGACAAAGACGGAACTGAAGAAAAATAGGTTTGTAAAACTAATGTTTTCTACAATTGGTGCATTCTTCCAGAGAGGAAAAAAAAAAAAAGGCAAACTCAGAAGTTAATGAAGTATCCTTCCTCTAATATTGAGATTTCAAATGTTGAAAAGCACCCCGAAAAATCACTGAGAATCAAAATTAAGAAAATTTAATATCAGTTCTGTAAGTGATAAAAACTGACAAACCTCTCACATGGACGAAAGGTTGATATCCTTGGTAAGTATATGCTGTTGAACTACATCTCCCAGTCTTCCCTTTCTTGCAAAATGAACAAATTGCCTAAAATCAAAGTGTTTCGATTAAAAACACTCTGATGCTTAAGTTAGTAATGGATCCAAAACAATTGTCAGAAGACAAGGAGCGTTTAGTGTACCTTTCTTTGGCTCCTTTTGCTTTTTGTAGACCCCTATTTAGCTAGAGTTTTCATGATTCTCGATTCAAGGTGATACACCGTCCTCCATTTAGGCGGTTCTGTTTGGAAAGTTGTTGGGATCTCTCCAACAATTTATTCTGCCGGGATTGTAATTATGCTAATTCGTTTAACCAGAATGCTTGAGTTATAGGCACCTCTTTAGCTCTCCATTTATTATTTGAAATAGCTCGGTCATGATGAGGACTAACCTCTTCACCTTATTCTCGAGCCCTTTGAACTGCTCGGTTCAAGACTGATGACTCAGCGTAATGATATCTCTATCACGTGATTGGTCTTGTCTTGCTCATGTGAGATCATTCAATGCAAGCGCACGTGTCATATAGGGAGCCACCCTCTTCATTTGCCCCTAGAAAACGTCTAACAGACGCTTTTCGTCTGTCAGTCGTTTTATGTCCTCGAAACTCATCATTGCTTACACTTTTGGGACATCCCCCTTGTTTTGGTGACGTGTCTAGTAATTTAAATATCGTCTTTTAGAATTACCTCATTTTATAAATAATTTCTCTTTACTCCTTCCTTCACTTTTACCTTCCCAGCTTCAGATTTTCTTACCTTTTTACCACCCTCTGCACTTTCGGTATTCTTCTGCAATGGCCCCTCTTACTCCTTCTGAGGTTCCTACTTTCAAAGCTAAATATAACATTCCTTAGGATGTCGAAATACAAGTCATTGGTAGTGAGGAACCTCTGATAGGCACCAAATATAGTATTCGCATTCATACTAGAGCGATCACTGAGGGTGGAGTTCATTTTTCTCTGGACCCCCTCCTGCTCTGGGTGCTTTCTGCGATGAAACTTTGCCCTATCCAGTGCTGCTCCAACTTCTTCAAGATAGTGATGGGAGTAGCTGCTTTGAACAGTCTTTTGAACTTGAGCCTTGGATTATGGGAGATCTTGTACTACTATATAATCAAGTCAACGAGAGATAACTACTATCTTGCTGTGAGGAAGAAATATCGCTATTTAGTGACCCACCTTCCAGACTCCAACAAAAGGCCACAAGAATGATGTGGACTTTATCTCTAGGAATTGAGAGTACACTGCTGGTATTACTCCATCCTATTGCTGCCCTTATGAGGATGGCGCACCAGGTGATTGTCTTTTGTGCTCTTTCATTTTATTCACCCATTGTTTCTGACAAACTATCTTGTGTTTTGAAGGCGAGTCTGTGATGGGCAGAATCCCTAAGTCGGCTGTAAAAATGGATGAACTTAGAAGAGTTTGGGATTTCAATGAGTCTCTTTTTCTGCTGAGCTGCTCATATCGTATTCGGATATATACCGACTTACATGTCTTTTATTGCTGTGCCAAACTGTCCCAATGCCAGTCTTGCTGTGGATCAGGAGGTCATTTAGACTGCTCGGGTGCAGACACCTTGATCCTGTAAGAGGTCTTTACTTGCTAGTTCTGGACGAAACAGAACAGTGAATAATTTTCTAGTCTTTTTATCAACTGTTAAACCGACACCGACCACCGAACCAACCTTGCCCATTGATCCGCCAGTTTCTTCAATTCCTGTTCAAGAAGAGGATCCTGCGTCTGAGGTTTCGGCTGAATTCATTCCTCCTGATTCGAAGGACGCAGTTCTGCCAGTGGACGATCGGGCTGACTTGGTTTGGGCCACTGAGTCTATTGCTGCCGAACCTGATCCACCAATTTCTGTTCAATCCCCCGGTTGACCAAGATGATTCAATCTTTGAACTTGCTGAGGACCCCACCCCGAAAAGGCAAACAATTACAGAGTCCAAAGCCACTCTTTCTCCTAAACCTATCAATCCTCCTTTTTGTCCTGTCCTCAAGGCTAAAAGGAGAGAGATCACTATGAAAGATTCTGCAATTGAAGATTTCAATGTTGCTATGGGGATTGCTCGGGGGGTAATTTTGCCTCGGGACTTAGCTGTGAATGAGGCCTTACCTGATGATGAAGTTGCTCGCCAAGCAATCCAACATATGGTCCTGGTAAGACTTGCTCCTTTTAAGCCTTCTTTCCCTTCTTGAGAATTTGTCTATGTTTTTTCCTTTTTTCAATTTGAAGGGTCTTCAAAAGGTTCACAAGGTAGGAGCTAGGATAGCTAGAAAGGATAAAGCTATGAAAGATGTTATCCATACTCGAGCTTTAGCCCTAGCCAAGAAGGAGTCCGTCGATGAGGAGTATGCCAAGATCTACGGAGAAGCTAAGGTTCTTCAGGCTCAAAATTAAAGCCTGACTGAGGAGAACCAAAAGCTTTAGACAGAGATTGGGAAGTTGAAAGAATTTGAACATGAGACGAACGTGGAGCTCTCCCAATCCTAGCTCGATTATACAAATCTTCTTGAGGAATTTGATCAGTACAAAGCCGAGGCAAAGGAGCAAAAAGATTCTACTTATGAAGAAGGCATGAAAAAGGCAAAAAATGACTTGGCTCTATAGGTTCCTGAGTTAAAGAAAGCATTCTTCAGAAAGGGCTGGCACACTACCCTAACAGCTGTTGGAGTGCCCTAGTCTTCTGAACTCTTCTCTCGTCTTTCCCTTCCTAACTCCTCACAGCCCCCATCTTCTTGAAAATACTTAGAATTTTGCTGAACTTTTGATGTAAATGTCTGAAAAATTCTTTGATATGTTTGTAATTCTTTACAGTCAAATGAAAGTTGGTGTTTTTCTATTTTTTGCTTTATAAATTTTCCAAGTTCTTGTGGCCTTTCTCCACTTACACTTGATCATGACTCGTTATACTTAGGAAAAGTTTGAGCTTTGGAGGTTGACCTTGCTCGGCCTTTCTTCAAAGAGCTTGGTCCCTCAATTGATACATTAAAACACTTAGAAAAAATTTTACTCTTTGAAGTTATGGTCCTTGCTCGGCCCATTTTCAAAGAGTTCAGTTTCTCAACAGAGATCTTAAAAAATTTTGCTTTTGAAGTCATGGCCCTTGCTCGACCCTTATTTAAAGAGTTTGGTCCCTCAACAGAATCCTTAAAGTATTTAGAAAAAATTAGATTCTTGAAGTTATAGTCCTAGCTCGACCTTTATCAAAGAGCTCGGTCTCCCGACAAAGACCTTTCAATACTTAGAAAAATTTTCAGATTCTTGAGGTTGTGGCACATGCTTGGCCCAAAGAGTTTGGTCTATCAACTGAGACCTTAAAACACCTAGAAAACTTTTACTCTTGAAGTTATAGTCCTTGCTCTGCCCTTCTTCAAAGAGTTTGATCCCTCAACAGAAACCTTAAAACACTTAGAAAAAATTTTACTCTTGAAGTTATGGCCTTGCTCAACCATTCTTCAAAGAGTTCGATCACTCAATAGAGACCTTAAAACACTTAGAAAATTTTTTACTCTAGAAGTTATGGCCCTTGCTTGGCCCTTCTTCAAAGAGTTCGGTCACTCAACAGAGACCTTAAAACACTTAGAAAAATTTGTTCTCTTGAATTTATGGCCCTTGCTCAACCCTTTTTCAAAGAGTTCATGGCCCTTGCTTGGCCCTTCTTCAAAGAGTTCGGTCATCTAGTAGAGTTAGCCTCTAATCCTTAGAATTCAGAGACTGTTTCAACTTTGCACTAACCCACTGACCTAGTCGGGCCAAATCCATCCC